CTGAGTTCACCCCCCAGTACCAAACACCAAACCAAACCAAAACACCCAAACACCTTCAAATCCAGAAAGGGAGTAGGGATGTGGGAAAAAGTAAGTCCACATGCTTTGTCATGGTTGAGGTAAGGCTGAGGTATTGGGCTATGTGCACTCTTCAACTAAGTGTGTGGAAAAGCCAATCTGTTGCACACCTGAGAGGCCTGCAGTCCTAGGACATGATTGTTCAGTAATGGGAGGCTGGAAGGAAGTCTGGTGTGCATTTATATCACCTCTTTCTTTTTATATTTAATAATGGTTCTTTTATTGCTTGTAGTATATCAAGATTGTTGAAAAGTCAAATGAAGTTATGCTGACTTAGTAGGTTCAAAAATTATTTTCCAAACACTTAATGATTATAATTTAAGATAAATAACACTTGAAGAAAGCAATTGTTTTATGACTTTCAATATACAACCTTACTTTAATTCAGACTGATTCCATTACATTTCTTTTTATTTTGCATTGGTCCTGAAAAATTAGTAAGAATTTTATTTCGATATATCAAACTGCCTGCATAAATCCACTTCAACCTTAATAAAATGGTGAATTAGGTGTTGGAGGTTGCAAAACTAATGATTTTCAAGTTTTTGAACTAAAAATGAAATGTAACAATACGAATAGAAAGTCCGACTATGTACAAGGTAAAGTTTCAATTCTCGTATTATCAGAAACATCATAAAGAAAGCTAGATTTATAACACACTTTTGTTCCCATATGCATCTGAAGTATGTACAGTAAAACACTAACACAGCATGTTTGTATCAATAGAGGGAAGTGCAAGCAAGAGTGACTTTCAAAGTATTTCATAAAGCAATCTCTCTATAAAGCCCCAAGTTAGGCTAAAATAACTGGAGACAATTGATTGCATCCTTCCAAGCTCTCAAAAATTTCATCGGTTTAAAATCAATGTTGAATTCACTGAAAAACTAGTTGGGTCCTATCACTGAATCTGGGAATATTGCAACATCAAGTATTTACTATGTTTGCAAGATAAATCAAATTGACGGCTCCATTTTTACATTATTACTTCCGTACACAGGAAAACTTTAAGTGTGTGAAGAACCATGACAAAACATTCCAAACTTATGAGTTAAAAATGGAGCAAGGGATACTGTCCATTTTTTTTCTGTCCATATTTGCTAGCTCATTTCCCCACCAAATACAGAGCAATTTACCATTAGAACATTAGCTGTGTATGGTACCGGGAAAAAGATACAGGGTCCCAATCTGTTGACAGGGACTAAAGGTTCTGAATAGGTCACCATCCTCAATTCTGAATAAATTTCATATTTACGAATTTTCTAATACTTAAAATGGTGGTCTTGTCAGCTACCCTCCTAAGAAGTCAAGTACAAGAATGCAAGTAAATTCACAGGCACAGAGGATCTATGTTAAAAACAGTTAAGGTAGCTGTGATGCAACACCAACAATTTGAATGGCCCTGACACACTCAAAATATTATCTTAATTATTCAACAAAATCCTGAGGCAAACTCTTGCTAGTCTCCTTACACTGCTAAACACTAAAGTAGCATGCTTTTTCCCATGGTTTTAGCTTAGCTCAAAGAATTTTTACACTATTAAGAAAAAACATTAAAGTATTTCCCCTTTTTAAAAATTTACACAGACGTTTAATTAGCTTTATTTACAGAGCAGGAATTTCTTTTCTTCAGTCTCCAATGGTGCCTAGATAACATCATTAGGCAAGAATGCCAGTTTAAAAGAAATTTATGCAGAATCCTAGAAATAACAGATGGTGGTGCTCCTCAAGATGCAGACTGGACTGTCGGCAGCGCTCTACACTCAGTTACTCGGAAGCAATTCTGTTGCAGTCTCTACATCCCATGATTTTGAAGACAAGGTCACTATTACTGCATTCCTATGAAAGCCCGTAGCATATAGGTTTTCTATTTTTCTGGTTTATTCTGGACTAGAATACACATGTGCCCAAAGTCGAGCTGTCTGTTTGAACATTTCAGGATTTTGTTTGTGCTGATTTGCCACTGCTGCATCTCGTGGATCACCGGGTTCTGCAGCTGCCAGCAGTGCTTGCAATGACAACAACACAGGGCACAGAGTCATTGCTGCCACCCATTGATCTTTCAGGATACCCAAACAAACAGCTCCTGTGACAGAACCAATATTAGGATGCCATATTTTAGTGATAAACCGGACCTTAGGGGGGTTAAATGGATGTGTTTCTGGTATTTTTATCTCTAGTTGCTATCTTCCTCCTTCATATGGTCCTCTTAATTCTGTAAAATTCTCATCTACAAGATCTACTTTAGTTTGATTTTTGCTCGTCTCCTCGCTCTTCAGCACCTCCCTGAACTCCCGCTTGATTCGCTGCACCGCCCGCAGCTGATTCGTACCCCCTCCTCCGCCACCGCCAAGGCCACCGCCTCCTCCGCCACCCACCGCCTCCCCTCGGTGATTCAGACCCCAGCGCCCGAACGCTGCCACTGCCACCCCTACCGCTACGCTCTCCGCAGTGTGGAATCACCTCCGCGCTCGCCACCAAAATGGCCTACATCACCTCTTAACTCATTTTCACAACCCTCTTTCTAACTGATCTAAGTGCCAGTCAATGAAGAGAATTTTAGTTTAGTTTTGCAGCTAAAGAGGGGTTTGGAAGAAGAATATTTTACCTGGGAGGGGAGTTTCATTTCTCTACTGAGAACTTACACTTCATCAGAATGTACATTTTTCAGTGTCTGAGAGAAATCAAGCAGTGCTGGGTGTTTTCATGCTTAGAATTTATCCATTTAGTTAAGTGGAAGGGTCGTAAAGCATTCTGTAGACTCTTGTGCTGATATATCACTCATGAACAGTGTTAATTTGGTTCTCCAGCTCTGATTTGTTTAGTAGAACATATTAATTCCTTGATGGATAGAATTAAAACATTTTAGGCTTCAAAAAATGGAAGCTCTAAAAAATAAATAGCTTGATCATTGCAGAACAGTCATTCTGATTAAAGCAGCTTGTTTGACCAAAGACAGTATAAGTTTATTCTCTCTTTGCCTTCTTAACCAGTTGCTTTTAAAATAAGATTTGATACTGATATAGTAGTTTAAATCAAGTACAGTTTCCCTCAATAACTAAATCAATATCATGGTGTTGAAAATATTATCTCTCTACCCTTGAAGGCATGATCACAGGAAAAGTATAACAGCCAAAAACAAGGAAGATGTTTTGGTTCAACTGACTGCATGTCAGCTGAATATTATAATGATTAATTTTTAGCCTGTTATTTGTTTAGTTTTTACTTATTATGTGTTCTCCCACATAAGTTAAGGCTCCCACTTTGTGAGCTTTAACATGCACTAATTCATTTAATCCCCATGAGACTTACTGACAACTGTGACATGATTCTTACAATGCAAGTGAAGGAACTTTGGCTAGGGAGGTATGCCTTGCCAAATGACAAATATAGTGGGTGGCAGGTCTTTCTGATTCAGACCTGCACTTTCAATCCTTAGACCCCACCATCTTTAATCACTTCCTATACCTCCACTAGTAGTCTCTATAATTCACTGTTGAAAGTAAGATACCTTTTCTGCCATTTAACTTTCTGTGTTAGTCCATTCATATTGCTAAAACAAAATACCTGAGACTAGTTAATTTATAAAGAGTAGGAGGTTTTTTCCTCATAGTTCTGGATGCTGAGCAGTCCAAGATCAAGGTGCTGGCATTTGACAACTAGTAAGAGCCTTCTTGATGCATCCTCACATAACTGAAGGGGCAGATGTTATGTCCTTGCATGGTGGAAGGGATGGAAAGGGATGAACCCACTCCCTCTAGTCCTTATGTAAGGGTCCAGTTTCATTCATGAGGGCTTGGCCCAGTTACTCATCACCTGTTAGGCTCCACCTCTTCATACAATTACATTGATTATTAAATTTCAACATACAAGTTTTAGGGGAACTATTTGGATCATAGCATTTTCTTTAGATAAAATTTTATCATTTTTAATATTTTTGAAACAGTGTCTCACTAGTCAGCCCAAGCTGGCCTCAAACTTGCATTTATCCTGCCTCTGAATCCTGAGTTCTGGGGTTATGGGCATGCTTCTCCATGCCTGGCTTAGAAAAGGTTTAAGTCAGGCTGGGCATGGTGGCACTCACCTGTAATCCCAGCACTTGGGAGGCAGAGGCAGGATGATCATGAGTTTGAGGCCAGCCTGGATGACATAGTGAGACCCTGTCTCAAAATTTTTAAAAATTGAAAGTAATAGAGTATGGGAAATGCTCTATATCTTGCTCTGGGTATGGCACTATGGGTGTAGAATTGTGAACCAATGCATCAAATTGCAGCTTCAGAGTTTCTTGTTTTACCATATGTCAAAAAGAAACCCAAATGTGACCAATATATTATTCGTTTGCCATTAATTAGGTTAGGTGTCCACCCTGAGCTCAGAGAGGCATTTCCCAGAGCCTTACATGAACTCAGGAGCCTAAGCACCTGGGTCATAGAAGGATGAGTTAAGGTCAGAAATGTGTAGCGTGGGCATGTGTGCACTCTGCTTGCACTGGACTTTGCTGTGTTCTTTTTCATTTTCTGAGAAATAGGACAACATATGAGCTATACTCAACCTGAGTCTTCATTTCTATTGTGTCCAGTCTCCAAGAAACAGGACACAGTGTTTGTTGGGAGAGAAACTCAAAGGGATGTGTTTCTTTTACACATCCTCTTGCCATCTTGCCTTTTAGATTACAACACTAGTACAAGTCAAGTCTTACACATTTAACATCTGCTTGTTGAAAGCAACTCATATCAAACAAAATTAAATGTTTTACTTTTTTCCCTCACAAGAACATAAAAATTATGAAGGGGAACTTAACAGGAAATTTTAAAACGGTAACACTATTTTTCCTTTTAGTAGTCCTTGGGTAGTTATGACAGAAGAGTTTCCATTTTTTTGTTTGTTTCTTTGAATGGGGATTTTGGTCCAAGTTTTGTTTGTCTCTAGTACCTACTTCTGCCTCCCCATCTATCAGATCGGCTTCCTCCATGGCCACCACCTCTTGGTGCTCCGCGGCTTGAACTGTTGTAGGAATCACGTGGCGGAGGGTACCCCCTTTCCATAGAAGGGGAAGCCCTTGTTCTTGTCTGCCAACCCAATCACGACCACTTGAGTAGCGATCACTTCGGCTGCTTGAGTAACTGTCTCGACTTCCACCATATCTGTCACGTGAGCTGCTGTCATCTGAATAGTCACGACCCCGTCCATAGCCATCTCTGTCACTATTGTCTCTTGCTGGATAGTCATCACGTGAACTGGAGTGACCATAGTCACGGTAAGTATAATCTCTTGGTGGTGGGGCATAATCTCTTGTATCACGGGAACTCGGGTAATCTCTGCTTGAATAGCTGTCTTTAGTAGAATATCCATCATCTCCGGGGGAAAATAAACATCTCTACGAGAAGGCAGGGGTTCTCTTCGAGGTGGGCCTCCATAACCATCTCTTCCACGTGACGCAGGGGCTCTTCCTCCCATTCCACTACTGCTGAGAACTGGTCCTGAAGGTGCGGATCTTTTAGGAGGAGGACCCCCACTTTGTGGTGGTGGTCCTCTTTTCACTGGAAGCTGTCCCCTGGAAGAAGTCATGTTAAAATTCATGGAATAGCCACCATCATCCATGTGTCCTCCACGTGAAGGAGGTTCCCTAGTTCCTCCACTTCCTCCTCTTCCTCCTCTAAGACCTCTGGGAGGGTCCCTGCTTCTTGGAGGTGGAGGTGGTCCACGTCTACCACTTTCAAATGAGGGTTTGGTGGCCTGTTCCACTTTGATGGCTTTCCCATCTAAGGACTTTCCATTCATGTCTCTGGCTGCATCCTTGGCATCTGCTGGGCTTTCAAAGGTGACAAAAGCAAATCCTCTAGGTTTGTTGGTTTCATGGTCTTTCATCAGAAGTACTTCCACTATTCATCCATATTTGCCAAATACTGCTTCAAGGGCTTTCTCATTTGTTTCTGTATTAAACCTGCCAATGAAGAGCTTTCCTGGGCGATCTGCTTCAACCATTTTTTTTTTCAGCTGATGATAGTCTATAGAGAGGGTGGCGACGGTCTCAAGCTCCTAAAGAGCTCGCTGAGCAGCTCAGTATGAGTGACAGCTGCCGGGACCCAGAACACAACAGCCAAGCCCCTAGGACTTCTGCACAACGAGCTAGTTCAGAGAAAAATCTGAGGTCCTTGGAAAATGGAATTCCATTTCCAGACTGCCTGAGGATTCAAGACAGCAACATCCACCCCTCTCTGTCTTCAGTGCCTTGCAGATTTCTGCCTGAATAATGAATAACCACATTAACCACTCCCTTATAATATACTTCTTTTCTAATCCCCCCACACAAACACACATGTGCACATACACATGCATACCCACGTAGGTACGCACACATTCTATTGGTTCCGTGTCTCTGGGAAATCCTGACTAATTAAAAATCCTGACTCCTCTATTTTTTTTTCCTCCTAGAGCTTACTATTTAGTTGGAGAGACTGACATTCAACATCAATAAATATATAGTGATTCAGTGGTACTCTTGTGGCATGTGAGCTAAGAGAACAGGGCCCGTACCTGTACCTCAAGAGAAATCCTGTCTAGCCCTGATTTGCGAGTGTGACTAGAAGCAGGGTATAAAGGCAAGACTGCCATGCTGTTTTTTCCACAGGCCCAGGAACCTTCACACTGCTTTCTCAAATTCCTGTGGTTTTCATACTTGAGCAACATCAGAGTCACTTGGAGGCTTGGTAAAACAGGCTTTTGGGCCTGTGACTCCTCTATTTTTAACGAGGGATTTTTATGGAGTTGGTGTTAATTCTGTAACTGCGTGGTAGAATTCTCCAAGAAAGTATTTGAGTCTGATCATTTGTTTTTGAGCATTTTCAAATTAAGAATTCAATTCTTTAATATTTATGAAGCCATTGAGGTAATTTCTTATTGGGTGAGTTGTAGTAGTTTTTGCTTTTCAAGGAGTTTTGCTTTTTAATTTCACTGGTACTTGCTGTTATCTTTATTTTCTTTCTCTTGTTTGGTTGAGAATTATTTTGCCCATCTTTTTCTAAGTTCTGGAGATGGGAGTTTAGAATACTGATTTTATCTTTTAATATATACATATACATGAGTTTCCCTGTCAGCACTGCTTTGGCTATATCCCCAAAACTGATGTGTCATATTTTCTTTCCTCTTCTGTTTCTTTTCTGGCAGTACTAGTGTTTGGACTCAAGTGCTACTACTTGAGCCATTCTGCCAACCTGGATGTAACATATTTTTATTCAACTCAATGCACTTTGTTTCTATTTTCTTGGAGACTTCCTTTTTGACCTACAGCTTATATATAAGTGTATTGTTTAGTTCCCAGACCCCTGAAGATTTTCTGGTCTTCTTTCTGTTATTAATTTCTAGTGCTGTCCATTGTGGTGGGGGAATGCATTTTGTATGATTTAAATTCTTTTAAGTTTGTAGAGGTTTATTTTGTGAAGCAGGATATTGTTTACCTTGATATATCTTTTGAGGGAATTTGAAATGAATATGTATTCTGTATTGGATTGAAAATTATATAAGATCAAGAGAATCTTGTTGACTAATGGTATTGATGAGTTTTATATCCTTGTTGACTTTTTGTTATGTTCTATCAATGTGAGAGAGGAGTGTTGAATTATGGTCTCCAGATATAATTGTGAGTCTATTTCTCCTTTTGGTCATATCAGTTTGTCTCTCATATTTTACATCTCTAGGGTTCGGTACATTCGTATTTAGTATTGCTATGTTTTCCTGAAATAGGGGAATGAGTGAGTGGGTCACCAACTACTTCTAGGTGAGGGTTGGAAGTCCAGACTTTCCAGATGGTCTTGCTGAACTATTAGTAGGGGGAGGGCTCCTTCTGTCCAGAAGGGAAGAAAGTTCCCTTCCCTCTTGACTTTCCCTGACACCACTCCAGTGGGGGATTGGAATATCTTGTTAAAACAAGTTAGGAAGTCCACTTGATCTTTGCTGGTGGGGAAAAGGGTTAGGACCACAACTATTTTTGTGTTGTTCCCATCCTTGTCCTTAAGACTTTTGTGTGTGTGTGTGTGTGTTTTTTTGGTTTCTCTAATATTCAGTTGAGAAAAAAAGAAAATGAGGCAAAAAGAAAATGTAGAGACTTTACTACTGTCTTCATATACTCCGCCTCTTTCTCTCCACCTTTCAGATTTTTTTATTCGCTCTCTTCATAATATCTAGGGTTTTAGTTATACTTAATTGAAGCAACAGGAAAAATTATGTCTACTCCATCTTCCTAGAAATAAATGTGCTTTTATTTGAATTTTCTATTAAGTCCGTCACTTCCTATAAAAAAACATAAGTGGGTTTTTATTGTATTTCAGCTAAATTAAAATCTATAGCATTATTAAATTTTATAAGGCACAAAATTTGCATATCATTCTATTCATTTAGATCTTCAGTTTTCTAAATGATATTTTAAAGTTTCTGTGTTGTTTGATTGAATATCTTTGCTTAGATTTCTTCTCAAGTGTTTATATTTTTGATGATACTATATATTGTATATTTAACAATATTACTTTACAATTACTGTTTCTTTTGTGTAGAAATACAATTTATTTCTTGTAATGACTTTCTATCCAGCAATAAAAGACAGCAAAAGAATATATGATAAATTATTATGATTAGTAATAGTTTATTATAGATTCTGTCAGAATTTTTCTATATAATTTACATCTCCTTTTCTCTTCTCTTTTTTTTTGAGATGGAGTCTCACTGTTTAGCTCTTGGGTTGGTCTTAATCTCAAGATCTTCCTGCTTCATCCTTCCAAATGCTAGGATTATAGATGTGCATTTTCCTATCTAAATCTTGTATTTTTGGATTATTTTTCTTGTCTTTGTTGCACTGTCTAGAATCTATCATTATTTTGCTTAATGCTGGCTAGCAGACATTGTTGTTTCATTTCCTGTCTCAGAGAGAAAACTTTTAATATTTCACTAGTAGCTATGATGTTTGTTGCAGCAATTGTTTTTTTGATGGAAACCTATATTATCTATCTTAAGGAAGTTTTCAAATTGTAATCTTAGTTTGCTGAGAGCTTATTATCATGAATAAAATTGCATTTTATCATTGTTCTGTCTATCCCTACTTAGGTGATTATATGACCCTTTCCCTTTATTTTGTTAATATATTGAATTACAATGTTTTGTTTTGTTTTCTTTTTTATATTTCCTTGTGCTGAGGATTAAACCCAGGGTCTTGTGCTCTATTGGCATGTATTCTACCAATGAACTAATTAGTTTTTAAAATGTTAATACAACTGTGTATTCCTAGGATAAATATAATTTGATAATTATGAATTATCTTGTTTTACATCTCTGGATTGAAGTTAGTAGTACTTTCATCAGTTTTACTACTATGTTCATGGAATATATTAATGTGTAATTTTTCTTTCTTATAATATCCTTGTCAGGTTTTTTTGGTAAGGTTATTCTGTTCTCATAAAACAAAGATGAAGTGTTTCCTTTTATTGTATTTTCCAGAAGAAAATGGAAAACCTTTAATAAGTCAAACCATCAGCCTGTCTATAAAGTATATGTTTTTAGTTATGACACTACTTTGATTTCCCTCTGAATTGCTTCTTCTTCCTCCCTATGTTTCTGCCTCTTTTTCTCCATTTGTCTCTGTCTCTCTTGGTGTATATACCTGGAACCCAGTCCCCACAGGGAAACACAAGAGGGCTACTTGACCCTATATGTGCAGTATATTGCATTAAGGAATAGGAAGTTAATCTTTTATAGTAGGCAGGAGGACTGCCTGCCCTTTCCTCTGGAAGGAGTCCTTACTTCTGCCTTCCCTGGCTACTCCAATGCAAACATCCTTGGAACAATGGTCCTGTAAAAGCAGGGGGGGGGGAGTGTGTTTGGGGGGAGATGGTCAGTGGTTCAGTTACAAAATGTGCTGAAACATGACAAGTCCTTGGAGAATTATGTATCAGCACCCATTCTTGCCATTTTTTCCTATCCTTTTCATCTCAAAGTTATTTATAAGATTACTTACTTTCTCTTTCTTAAAGAATCTGGACCATCACTTAAAATACTCAAAGATATTCCTTTAGTAAATGAAAAAATTTCCAGTCTATGTACATCATGATGATTTCACTGGCAAGCATTGTTGGTACTGAGTTGCTTTAGTTTGAAATTGAATTTCCAGTGCAGAAGTAGATCTCCATTAATTGACCCAGTAAAAGACAATCTAAGGCCTTTGTGTGCTGTGACCCTGCCTCTATTGCTGGCTTTATTTCCATCACTTTACCTCTTCCCCCCCCTTTTCACACACCTTCTTCAGTTTCCAATTGGGTAGTGAATCTTCCAGTTTTAGGAACCAAAAGCATGCTGTTTTCACTGCAGGACTGCCTTCCCTAGACCCCAGTTACCACAGGTCCCTCTAAGAGCCTACACACCACACCCTCACAGGAGCTTTTTTAGAACTCTGCAGTTTAGAATCAGCAAGCTCACTCCTTCTATTAGTCACCCCCCCTTTTTTAACATACTTTTCTTAGTCTCTGTAATATTTAATCACAATTACAATGAAACAATTAGTTGCATAAAGATTGTGTCTCTGCTAGAATATAAACTCTATAAAGGTAGACACTGTCATTTTTTTCATGGTGAAGTGTATAGTAGGCACTAAGTGCATGTTTATGGAATAACTTCATTAATTTAAAATTTTCAAAAGTCATTTGAGGGTATTTGTTTATTAGTGAACTTTTGTGAGTAGATAAATGGATTGACATAATTCATACTCTTGTTTCCACTCAAGATTTCATTGAGGTCATCTCTTTACTCTTTGCTTTCTATTGCAACAACTTCACTTGATCTTCATCCACATGGATCTCCTACTGGCTTCAGGTCCTCACAATATGGGAGGAGATAGATGGATGGGTAATGAAAGTAGCCTAGATCATGGACAGTGGATGGTAGTGGAAATAACAACAATAGTAACATAATAATAATAATATAATAAATTACAGTTGATCAGC